CTTAACGACCCGGCTGTACAATATTTCTCCATTAAATCCTCATGCCTTCTCTTCTCTCTCTCTGTTACTCCCAGGAAAAAAGAAAGAAAAGAAAGCTAAATGATCCAATGCTGCAAGACATGAAAATCCCATATGTACCAATATTTTCTTGTAGAAGCTTATATGTCATCGATGTATTCACCTACAGCTAGAGGATTGTTCTTGTCACAGCTGTCTATATCCATCACAGACTCTTCTACTTCAACATCAATATCATTTGAATCTTCCATTTCAATTCCTTCCTGCAGATAAAAGACAACATGTATCTTCATCCGAGTAACCAACAAATTGTTATTCTTACCATTCGGTCAATCTCTTCAAGCATGGCTTCAGTGTGTTGAACAAACATTGGTTCATTAAAGTCTCCTTCTTCCACATCTGTTTTGATTCTATCTAATGTTTCGTTCGAAATCAAGTCTGGTTTCTTGGTTTCCTAACCACAAAAAAAAACACTTGAGATTAGACAACCTAAACCATGTCATGTTTTCAATTACCAAATTCAATTTGTGTCAATATAAAGTTACCTCCTTGTGGATTGTTCTCAGCTAACTGAGCAGCAAATTTCCTGAAATTAAATCAAGAATTAGAGCTCCTAACCAAACTCATAATACAATTGTGACATTGAAGCATAAATCATTTGAAATTTACTGACCTAGTAACCGGACGATGCAATGGAACAGGTGGAATCTTCTTGTTACATATCCCATTCTGCCTGAGAAAACAATTGGTTCGTAAGATAAGTGTATACAACTTTACAAATAAAGGATCATTCAAAGAAGAAGTTAGTAAGTAATTAATTACTCGGTGAATGGTCTCTTGTTGACAGCACAAGGATAAACAGGAGCTCCGATAATGTTCTTGTTTATATTACTCAGTGCTCTTCTTGTTTGTCCATTATGAGAATACTCATAGTTTCATTTGTAGTCATACTCATAGTTCTCACAGATCACGAGTTCTTCCTTTGGGATAAATGAAACTGTAAACGTAACAGAATATAATTCAGTTTCTTACACTTTTACATTGTTAATAATGGCCTCTGATGGAATCGACTTCCTTTTTCAATTGAAGTTCGAGCCCTTACAAATAAATCATCACCATCCACAACCATATCGACCATTGTAGCCTAATTATGGTACGGAGAGTTAGTTTTCGAACTTCAAGAGAGGCAATTCTCTTCCTTACACCATTGGATGGTAAGACCTGCACCAACTTCAAAGTTAACGCACTATTGCGCCTACTATGAGCATTCACGTCCTGAGGCAGAGCCCGAAGTTAAGCCCCACACAGATGGAGAGGTAACCCATCAGACTTGCACCTCGCAAAGAGTCTCTAAACATATAAAAGGTCGGCTAGAATGATGAGAGTTCTTCGGATATCTCGACATGGTAAGATTTTCAGTAAGTATGTCATTAATTTTGGAGATTATTCACGTTAATCACTTGTTTCGACACATTATTAGAGAGTTCAAGCTTATTTGTTTTTTTTTTTCTTTTCTTTTCTACTTCATCTTTTATTATCATTTTTGTTTAAAGAGAGTTCAAGCTTATTTATTTTTGTAGTTATCTAGTCAAAACTTTATTGGGAATTATGATCTTATCATATGATGAATTTTGACCATCTATGTGCTTATGAATCATTTTCTAGTAAAAATGTTTTACTAGATTATATTGGAGGTTGAAATATTTAGAAAGGAACTTGATCGCAAAAACGAAGGGAAAAACGACATACATTTTTGGTGGAGAGATACCATTGAGATCAAGACTTTGGGTTACCTTAGAATTCACTTTTAAAAAGAAAATATTTTTACAGTATAAAAATAAATTGGTGGAGAAATACCTTTGGGATCAAGAGTTTGGTTTGTCCTTGGAATTCATTTTTAAAAGTGAAAATTTCTACCTTATGAGATTCTTACCAAAAAGAACTGTTTCACGGTTTTATTAAAAATCATTTTGTGAAAAACACAAGGGAAAGGTATGGTTGCTTATTAAATGATCTCATGGCAAATAAAAATTCTAAGAAATGTCATGGACCATGTAGAGAGAGATATGGAGTGTTTTCCACCGGTTCCCAGAGAAAAATCTGACACACATCATTTTAGTAAGGGGAAAAAACCCGAAAAATACCCCATCTATTTTTAATTTGGACGTTTAATACCTAACTTTTTTTTGTTGGAAGAAAAATACCTTCTTTAATTATAATTGGTCGAAAAATACTTTATTTTTATATTATTGGTAAATTCAAACCTCTGATTTAACGGTCGTTAACGGACGTTATGGTATCAGTAAACGACGTTATATTATAACAAAACAAATAGCCGAAAAATGCTTCATCTATTTATTTTTTGATTTTTAATACCCAAACTTTTTGGTTGGAAGAAAAATACCTCATTTAAATATATTTTTGTCTAAAAATACCTCATTTTTGAATTTTAGTATATACAATATTTATACAAACATTTACAAATATATTACTTGATCTAATGGTAACACATATGATTTTTAACCCTCATAGAACTTCTTTTGATCTCCTATTTTCTTTAATGAATGACATACAAATTTAAATACATCATTTGCTTCACTCCTACAAATTTAAATACATCATTTTTCATTCCTAAAGGCATCGTTGGAGTTAGAAGGGTTTTGCAACTAACAAATGAGAGATTCTGCAAATTTAAATACATCATTTTGATGATGGAATGTAACGATTCTGCAACTAACAAATGAGAGATTGTGACAAAGATGACGACGACGATAGATTTGTCATTTTTGTGGTCGTGAAGTAGCATAGTTGCGGAAGTGGAGAAGAATTTAGGTAAAAGTGGAGAGATGAAAGAAATGGTTCGAGAAAGATTGAGTTTTGATCGTATTAACAAAGTAATATTGAGTTTTGATCACACCAATATATTTGTAAAATTTTGAAAATAAATTGTATATATCTATTTATATAGACAGGGTTATAACGTTGTTAAATGTTTCTGTAATATTGTTAACGATTGTTAAGTCGCATACTTGAATCCACTAATAATTTAAAATGAAGTATTTTTAGACAAAGATATTTTACATGAGGTATTTTTCTTCTAACCAAAAAGTTGGGGTATTAAAATTCCAAAAATAATTAGATTGAGTATTTTTCGGCTATTTTTCTGTTATAATTTAACGTCGTTTACTGATATTGTTATGTCCGTTAACGACCGTTAAATCAGATGTTTGAATCTACCAACAATTTAAAAATAAGGTATTTTTCGACCAATTATAATTAAAGAAGGTATTTTTCTTCCAATAAAAAAAAGTTAGGTATTAAACGTCCAAATAAAAAATAGATGAGGTATTTTTCGGGTTTTTTCCCTTTTAGTAAGCAAGAAAGTTCAAGAAATAAGAATTAAACAGTTGCAAAAATACAAGCATTGGGTATACAGATTTCACATGAATTAATGTATGGAAGAACCTAGAAATTAAAAAGAGAAGAAATGTGCACTACTTTGAACTCAAATACAATATACTAGTGTATTATCGAAAAATTGATTATTTTTTTAAAAGATATAAGATTCAATTTTTATCTGTTCAATAAACACCCAACAACTTTTGTTTGTTAGGGATATGTTTTTCATCTTTGACAAAAAATAAATAAAACTGTTTTGCTCCTTTACGTTCTTTCAAAATATTCAACATAACTTTTGATAAGAAAATAAATATAAGATCATAACTTAGATGATCAATTAAGCTTCAACTTTGTAAACAACAATAGATCGATCTGCTTGTTTAAGTTAAAATTTGGCTAGGACGTTGCCTGTGTTTAATAATCGATTCAAAATTGGTACGAAAGATCTGTTTGGTTTTGCCAGAAATATGGTATTCTTCTAAATTCAAGATTGATTAATCTAGAAGTGGAACTACCAGTCAATTTGAGTTGCCAACCTCTGTATTTTGACATATAAATGCTGCACGATCGATATACAACATAATCTACGTTTTGTGACCCCGCGAATCGCCATAATTTTGTCGCAAAACACTTCTTTACAACTGTTTCTGGACTACCAAAAGTGGTTCTCAATCTATAGTCACTAATTGGCTTTGGTTGCAAATGGGTCTCACATTTGCAACGCTTTTCTAACTACCTAAATTAGTCGTATATAAGCGACCATCGCAAGGCGTTATATCATGGTCCTAGATTGAAGACTAAAATGTGACAACTTTGGAAAGTCGTACAATCAGACTAAGTTAGGACAATTAGGGTATCATAAACTCGTGACCTAAATCTGGTCGCAAATAAGTCGCAAAAGGAATTATCAAAATCGTCACATAAATGTGGCAATTTTGCGACTGTTTTGACACTTAATTTATCGTTTATTCGTGGTGGCTACAATCGTTCAAGTAAATACAGATTATGATTTTCTTATTCTAACATGTCCTCTTATTTTCTTACAGAAAACATTATCTAATTTTTTCTAGACGAAAAGAATTCTTGTAAAGCAAACAAATAGATATAGTGTCATATGGCATATATATTAGGAAACAAAATTGACATGTATTATTTTTTATGGTTCATGTCATAAGCCGCTGAAGAATTACATAAATTTTAAACAGTTTTAGAAAAAATAA